AATTTAACCATGGAAGAGGCCACGAACATCTATTATGATGTACAAGGGATGGGAACACCGATAATGAAGTATGAAAGGGGCAATCTTTTGGTTCCTGATCATGAGTATAAAAATCTAACAACATATATGCGCCAGTTACATGAATATTACATGGCTCAAGCAATAGAGACGGATGACTTTGATTTTGAGGTTATTATTCGTTCGCCACATGTTTTCCAATATCCTAAAGAAGAGAAGTTCGATGTCGAGTGGGAGTGCTTGTTCCAGCTATACCAGAAACACTCTCTCGATGTTCAAATGTTGACGCTGTGGACTATGCAAGTACCCTACACGCACGATATTACAATTAACTACTCTCTCGAGACTTAAATTGTTAACTTTTAAGCACTTCCCATGATTTTATGTAGGTGTATAGCAAAATTTTGCATTCTAAAAAGCAAATGGGATTACATAGGCTTCTTGGACCCCATGCGAGTCAATGAGAGGACATGTCTAGGCCTCTACGGATGTGACGTGGAAGACCTAAAACAGAGATTGATTGCTGTTTTCGATGGATTCACAATGAAGAAGAAAACCCACATACTTTTAGCCTACAACTGCGAGTATGTGTTCTCGGCTTTTAATTTTATGCTTCTTTTTTCGTTAAGATTATTTGATAATTAGGATTCTGTGATTGCAGCAACCATTTCGTCTTCATTTGTGTTAATCTTGCTAAAAATCTGCTCGAGGTGTGGGACTCGAAGAAAAAATCATTTCATCATCTCGATGTACTGGTGGCAGTGCTGAATTAGTAAGCGATCCTAATAACTATTATTTTCTAATCACTTTTAATGTTGCTCAGTGTCCGAAGAAGACATATCGGTGGGACGTCGGTCGCATTCAAGGTTGTTGAAATGGAGGGGAAGTACCTATCACAACCGGCGGGAAACAATGAATGCGGGTTTTATGTAATGTGAGCAATGCTTCGCTACATCGGCGGGAAATCAAAAGAAGCCGATAAGTTGGTGTGTATAATCCCCATTTCATTTATGTCTGTTAATAATTCAACAAAATATTTACTGTTCCTCTTTGGATATCATCTTTTTTGAACGACAACGCAAGAAATATAAGCACGAAAGGCTGCTAGACATGGAGATCGTCGCACTACAATCGGAGCTGGCAAAATTCATCTTAGCCGAGGTATTGGAAAAAGATGGAGTATTTTTCATTGCACAATCTGTGAAGTATAAGGACTAGTATGGCCTAGAGCGGCTCGCCAGATTATTGTAAGAAGTCCAAGAAGCATGTGTGAAGTCCAACAATATTTCTTTTTTATTTTGAGGGATCGAGATGTGGATAAGAACATTTGAATTGTAATCGTAACATTTGTAATGTTTAATATTGATAGACCTATCGTATATGTAGCGTATATAAAGCAAAACCCGATTCCACGAAAAAATATAAATTAAAATAAATTATAAAACAATAAAATACGAACGGGCCATCACTGCCGGTTAGCAACAAACCGATGGTGTTGTCGTAACCATCAATGCCGGTTAGAAGCAAACCGACAGTGTTGTCTTGCTCAACATTGCCGGCCTGAACCATGAACCGATACTGATAGTTACAAGAACACTGCCAGTTTGATCCATGAACCAACACTGATATTTACTACAACACTGCTGGTTTGATCCATGAACCGACAGTGTAGGCTTCTCAACACTGCTGGCTTGAGCCAAGAACTGACACTCTTAAAGCAACCGTCACTGTTAGTTGGCACTACAAACTGGCAGTGTTGTTCAACTAGACATTGCTGGGCGGAGCTAGGAACCGACACTGTTTCCTGTAGATCAGTGTCGGTTTTTAAGGACCGGCAGTGATGTCAACCCCCCATCACTGTCGGTATGCCACTACCGGTTCAAAATCTGACAGTGAAGTGGGTTTTTGAACCGGCAGTGATGTCCAGATCTGGGGTAGTGAGGAGTCGCCAGCCAACACCTTTACCCTCGACAGCAAGGAGCCGATCAAGGGACCTATCTCCTTCCGCTTCGCTGCGAAGGCTGGTGGCTACCATGTTGTCAATGATGTCATCCCTGCTGACTTTAAGGCCGGTGTAGTTTACAAGACCGGTGAACAAGTCTGAGTAATGGACGCATGAGCTCTTCTAACGCATAGAGATTACATTGACCTCTAAAATAAACTTTTTAGAGAGACCGATGGTACAGAACGAGCACGCCAAAAATTCATTTTCTATGCGTGGTAGGCTACCACGAAATAAAGTAATCCTCCCGCGTGTTGTTGTGGAGCTATATATGCACACTTTACAATATTGTTTATGTATGGTAAAATAGTATTTGTGGACCTTCATCTAGATGGCTATGTACTTTGGTTTTCTAAACTTCTAATACATATATGTATGTGAGAATCAATAAAGCATGTTTACCTTGTGTTGCATGTCAGAAATGCAATGAAAGTTGAATTTACACGTGATCTTTTTGAACACAAATTGGTCAATGGACCAAACCATGACACGAAAATATTATCAGAAACCAATTAATACATAATTTAATATCGTGAACCAGTCTTCTCATATGGCCGTCACTACGTTGTGTTGTCAAGGGGTGTGTTCTGAGAAACGACTAGGATTCTAAACAATCCAAACAAAAAAAATTGAACCCACAAAAAAGAGCACCTAGAATATTCCATATAAGGATGGCATTTTTGGAATCATGAATTATGTTTATTTTTGTAAAATTTGACTATAGTTTTATCTTGGCTAAAAGCCAGTCAGGGCCAACAAATTATGTTGTGTTTTATTCATGTTGCAAGTTCCTCATTGTTTTCTAACATTTATATACTTCTCCTATTGTAACTAATTTAATTTTGGATAATACCATGCTACTGTAAAAAGGATTAATGGACATAGACCCTTTTTTATTACAGAAGAAGACCGGACAAGTCAATGCTTGTGAAAATCATCGTAAGTAGAGCATAAGGACAATGCCCACCTGACCTATGTAAATGTTACTATATATAGGGCGGCCATATTAAGTCACCATCCTTGTCAATGACTATAGATACATGGACCTAGCCACAACTCTTAATGGTTTTGGTGATTGAAATGGTAACCCAATCACTCAGACTAACATGTATGCTAAGATGCGTTTAATGACTTTTCTTAGATCACAAGCCATGATAAAATCAAGAATAAATAGGACTTGTCTTATGAATTTGGATTTAGAGTAAAGAAAAATTATATGATGTTAGGTTCAAGTTGTAAATATTTTCACACGCTTTCGACCACTAAACTAAAGTCTAGAGGAGAAAGATATGTATTTTTGCAAAATCCTATACATTAGTTCGGAAAATTTACATGGACAGTATGGCCATAGAAACACCATTTGGAAGAAGGAGTTTTGGCTCAAATACCGAAGCATCGAAGTGTGCTCAACATTCGGGTATTCACATGATGATCAAGTGTGAATTTGTTTTAGTCAAGTGAAGTATTTTTGCAGAATCTTACAGAGCTTGTCACAAGCTTCCAATACTGTACAAGGTCATTTGAAACATAGTTCGAAGCAAGAAGTTATGACCAAAAGGCAATTTCCTAAAAATAGTTTCAAAGGATGTTCCGATTTGAAGCATTTTTGGGTCATTATATGAATTGCTCATGGGCCACCTGCCCCAACAAGAGCATTGTGTGGGCTTGAACCATGTTTTTTACCTGTAACCTAACCCAACTTTGGAAACCCGAGAAATAGCCCTAACTAGCCCAATGTGTCCAACGGGCGAGAATGGTCCAAAAATTTTACCTCGACAATCTTTTGAGCCTCGATCTGCAATTTGATTAGGTCTAACTTTATCATATGCCAACAACAAGAAGCAAAGCACAAAGTATTGTATGATCACATGATGATCCATCATTACCATTTTTTGTGTCATCGTACCATCCGGTGTTCACAAAAATGATACCATTGTTCGTTGGTGCAACATCCAATTGTATTCACAGTGTTGACATTTATTTCACCATATCATCCCGTGTTCTCAGGAAGTATGACCACTGGAGCAGCATGTTGGCTCGCTTGGGGCTATTTATACCTTTCCAATCGGACATTTTAAGCGGGTTGGGGAGTAGAGAAGTGACTGGGATTTGCTAGACTTGAGGAAGATACACTCCAATCAGATATCAGAGCTTAGTGATTACATCAAATCATCGATCTTGGTGAGGAAAAAACCAGTGCTGGGGACGTGCGAAGAAAATTAGAATAGAATACACGTTCAATCCAGGCCTGTTCGTTAGGGCGGAGTGGAATTTTTCATCATGCTAATACTGAATTTTGAAGACACATCCAAAAACTAGACAATGAGTGGGTGAGACCCAGTTGGGCGTGTGTTATTCTTTCTCTCTTTTATAGTATAATAATAATAATAATAATAATAATAATAATAATAATAATAATAATAATAATAATAATAATAATAATAATAATAATAATAATAATAATAGTGATGATGATGATGATGATGATGATGATGATGATGATGATGATGATGATGATAATAATAATAATAATAATAATAATAATAATAATAATAATAATAATAATAATAATAATAATAATAATAATAATAATAATAATAATAATAATAATAATAATAATAATAATAATAATAATAATAATAATAATAATAATAATAATAATAATAATAACAACAATAGATAGATAGATAGATAGATAGATAGATAGATAGATAGATAGATAGAGTAGATATGGATTGCAGTATACATACATTAGAGTTGGTCAGAAAATTAAGTTGAAAGATTTGAATTTTGATGTGGGTGTGCGTTGTGTCATGGGGAATAGTGACTTGTACCATATTTTACTCCAAAAACAGTAGTATAAAAACGTTGAGGGTTGCATGCCAATGCTTTCCGAGAGCCCAGAGCTATTTCTGGCAATTGAACAAGTGTCCGCTGATAAACAAGCTAGCCAACGATCTATGGGGCTCACCGTACGTCCATGCCTAGTTTGCTTGCCTCCGCCGGCCATAAATACACGGAAGCCAGCTACAACATCGATCGCCACACACATCCATCCATCCCTCTCCATCGATCAAGAAATAAACAAGGTTCGGCCAACTTACTTGCTAGCTCACCAACGGCCTCCTCGTCGTCCTATTTCCTGCTTGCGGCGGTGGCATTGGCAGCACTGTTTGCCGTTGGCTTGTGTGGCACTGAGCTCACCCTCACGATTGGTAAGGACTCTAGCTCCACCAAACTATCCCTCATCACCAACGTCGCCATCTCCGAGGTGTCGGTCAAGCCGAAGGGTGCCACAGACTTTTCAGATGACCTCAAGGAGTCGCCAGCCAACACCTTTACCCTCGACAGCAAGGAGCCGATCAAGGGACCTATCTCCTTCCGCTTCGCTGCGAAGGCTGGTGGCTACCGTGTTGTCGATGATGTCATCCCTGCTGACTTTATGGCCGGCATAGTTTACAAGACCGGCGAACAAGTCTGAGTAATGGACGCATGTGCTCTTCTGAGATTATATTGACCTCTAAAATAAACTTTTCAGCGAGACCGATGGTACAGAATGAGCATGCCCAAAATTCATTTTCTATGCTTGTTTTGTGGTAGGCTACCACGAAATAAAGTATACTATGTTCTCCTCACGCGTGTTGCTGTGGAGCTATATATGCACACTTTACAATATTGTTTATGTATGGTAAAATAGTATTTATGGACCTTCATCTAGATGGCTATGTACTTTGGTTTTCTAAACTTCTAATACATATGTGTATGTGAGAATCAATAAAGCATGTTTACCTTGTGTTGCATGTCAGAAATGCAATGAAAGTTGAATTTACACGTGATCATTTTCAACACAAATTGCTCAATGGACCGAACCAATGTTGATGGTACTTAACACACCTTTTTATACCATCAACCATGCCTAATTTGGTCATATAAATGACATAAATCATAGTCATAGGGCTTATTTCTAACCATTTCCACGAGTTGTGATGACTATGTAAGTGTAGGAACAAGGCAGCCATATACATGCAAAAACACTTCATCAAATGCTCATTGTGACTACACCATATCAATGAGGCTGTCGAGATACATGAAATTGAGTTTTGTTTCACCCAATTTGGAGTCCGGATGACAAAGTTATGCCTTTCGAAAGATTGCAAGACGGGCTAGACAGAGTTTGGGCAAAGATGGATGTCGGGTGACCCCCTAAGGCGTCGAGCGACCTCGACTTGTGTCCAATGACCCCCAAACTTGGTCCATAGCCTCTACACTCAATGGAGAACCCAAGAAAGGCCTTGTTCATGCTATTGGACCAAATGGAGGGCCGGGTGATGCCAACCCAAGATGGGGAACCCAAAACCAAGGTTCGTCCACATCACCGATCCATGCCACCAGCAAGAAACACACTCCAGAGGCATCCTAAACATCGATTCAATGATAGTTCATCATCAAGTGTGGAGATGGTGTCCATGTGGCCTCTCCCATGGATCCATAGGCCTACAAACCGAAGAAGGAAACAAACTCCAAACCTGACCAAACTTTGTACCCAAGCAAATGTGGACCGTGGAGCACCAAACTGACTCAAGATCGACGATAGACATGCCAGGAGGCGTCGGGCGACCATAACCGACGTCGACCGACGTGTGGGACCTTCCAAACAGACTTAGGACCACTCCAACCGACTCTAGGGAGCTCCATCAGCCGTAGATGCACCAAGTTGGTGCATCCAAGGGTCAGCCGATGCCCAAGTAGGTCGGTCACCGACCTACCAACCGACCTCTTCTGCTCTCTACAAGTACCCCCCCCCTCCAAGAACCAACCTTGGGAGGCTATAAATAGTGGTGTAGAGCTCCATTTGTAATCATATCATTCATATCTAGTAGAATAGTCGCAAGGCAAAGCTCTGTAGCTACTCCACATAGAAGTAGAAGATAGGGAGAGAGTGAGGAGAAGTTTGGGGAGGAACCGGGGTTGTCGGCATCCTCTCCACTTGTGCCTCGGTGGATGAAGCTCTTCTTCGAGTGAAGTCCTGCATCTTCTATGTGGTAACTATATTCTTTTGCATTACTTAAGTGTTGTTTATATTACTGTTGTTTACAAGTTTCACCGCTTGGTTACATTGCTTCGATCATATTTCATCGAGGCCTAGATTGGAGTAGTGAGTCTATAGATTAAGCATGGTGCTTAGGCTATAGCTTGCCTATCTTTATGGCTAGATCCTCGGATATATTGTGGTTGGTGGCAGGTGGTGACAGGCCTATCCATCCTCTGTATTCCACCACATTGGTTCTAGTTATTAAATCATAGGGCTCATTGTGCTTTGTGCCTAATCAACCCTTTGGGTGAGGTTAGGGCAGGTACGCCCCAAAGTAAACAACCTTGATATAACATTCCTTAGTCTTACCTTAGTATATTAGAAACTATAGTGATCATCTCTACCTGTTATCACCTATCCTTGTTCTATCCTTGGACATTCTTGTTTCTTAACTAGTCCACTTCACATTCCCCGTGGAAATTTGATACCTTGGAATACTCCCGGTTGAAAGCTACATTGACTCTGTGTGCTTGCGGATTTAACTGTTTGCCATATCTAGTGTCAACAAGCTTTCTGGCACCATTGCCGCGGAATGGTAGCTGTTCTAGTTTAGAACAGAGTCATCCAAGTATCTTTAATCATTTATCTTTCATATTATGGATCGCATTCCTATCATTCAATTCGTTGCCCCAAAGGGTGTTAGTTTGGAGCCACCTTCATCATCAAAACCTATCATCACCAATAGTTATGAAATTCGCCCTTGTTTCATAACTAAAGTTTAGGAGCTATCTTTTGCTAGGGAAAAAGATGAAAATCCTTATGCTCATCTGTGAGAGTTCGAGGAAGTGTGCTCATGCCTTCACATTTCGGGCATGTCACATGAGACCCTTAAGTGGAAGCTATTTCCGTTCTCTTTGATGGGATTAGCCAAACTATGGTATACTCGAACCGTAGAGAGTGTACAAGAAGAGTGGGAAGTTCTTCAAGCTAAGTTCTGCTTAACTTTCTTCCATGTCTCCCGAGTAACTCATCTTCGAATAGAGGTCCTAAGCTTCAAGCAAAGAGAGAAGGAATCTCTAGGTGCTGCCTAGGCCCACTTAATAGATCTTTATTCATCTAGCCCTGATCTTGCTATACCCAAACCTATACTTTTGCAACACTTCTATTTGGGTCTTAGTGAGAAATCTGCACAATTCCTTGACATCACTTTAGGAGGAGCTTTCTTACATCTTCCTATTAATGAGGGAAGAGCCATCCTTGATACAATCCTTGAAAACTCTCCCTACACCGATGTCCATGACTACTCTCCTAAAGAAAAGGACAATCCAAGCCCCAAACAAGAAGATGTTTCGATAGCTGAATCCTTGCCAAATCCATCTAAATCTTTAGCTACCAACCATATTCCTGAACCATTCCTAGGGACACCAAAGGAAGAAGAAATTCATCATTTGGAGTTTCCTTTAGAATTCGAGGAGGATCTTTCTCTTGATGTTGGGAACCGCTTCAATCATCCAACCCAACAGAGATCTTTGGCTCCCTTGGCCAATCAACATATTCTCAATCCACCTCAAGTTTTAGTTGCCCATGATCCCCTCGAATTAACATCATTTTCCACCTCATACTTTGATCTCCCCGATGTCCATCCATGTTTCTTGTTGATAATTCAAACCAAGGAGGCACTTCACCCCTTTTGGTTGGCACCAAATGGGAGCATAAATCATCTGAGGCAAAGATCCTGATCCTAATAAAGGATGAGGAAGGAAATCCACTAGTAGAATACCATAGACAAGAGATGGTCGATGAATATGTTTGGTCTATGGACATTCTCAAGGGATCAACTTTGGAGTCCAAAAAGGAGGATCATGTGGACAAACATCAAAGCTACATTCTAGAAGAGCCACAAGATCTACGCTTTCATGAGAAATTTCTAGAGTCAATCTTTCCTTCTACCTACACCTATGAAAGCTACACACATCCTATGCTTCTCTTTTGTCAAATCCTCAAGAGGATGGTTGTGGATGCTTTTGTCTATCACAAGTATTCCAAAGCTTGTAGTGGCCTTAGTTCAAGTTCTTACGGTTGAAACTGCAAAGGTCAAGCTTATGACTTAAAACAAAGCACTGCCAGGAGATAACACGTTAGCTTGCTATTTTCAATTCAATAAAGTTTGTTTAGTTTCTATCATCACAAAAATAAAGTGGTAGTAGTTGTAGTAATAAATAAAAATAGTTTACCTTTCAAAAGTTATGCTTTTCCCTTCGAATAAAATAGAGCGAACCCAATGAAGATTGAGCTTGATTGTTGCACCACCCGATGTACCCACACATCGGTCGGGTTTGTAGTATCACCTTGCACAAGTCTTTGCTATAGATATCGAAATCATGAATCAAGACTTTTTGAGCAAGCATCATCAGTGACATCAAGAAAAAGGAATTCAAGTCATGGACAAGGTACAATTGTGCAATTCAAGAGTGAAGCTAATCGGGCATGGGGAGCTTGGAAGCAAATGTGATGGTTCATTCAAAGTCATCATCATAAGCCATCATGCTTCAAAGCAACAAAGGTAACTTCTCTAAGGTATGTGGTTAATGTTTAAATCATTACCTTTGATCTGATAAGCATGAAAATGAAGAAGTTGATGTGATTCACTTGTTTAGTTTTTCTAAAACAATGGTCAAACTTAGCTTTTGAATCATGTCTTCCTTTTGTTCATAATCATAGCCACCTCTTTTGAATTCATGTTAACCTGATATATGGAAGTCTACACAAAAGCTTGTGCCATATTTTGTCTTATGTGGGGGTCGGCCGACCTAGCCTTAGGTCGCCTGACCGGGCACTAACATGAATTAGCTCAAATTATTGTGCACATGTTCTTCAATCTTGTCTTGTGTTAATCCAACATCGGAAGAGTGTAGATTGAGATGTTAAAATTGAATGGTCATGTTTTGTCTTTATATTCGCATAACTAAAACAAATGCTTAAACATGAACCTATTCTTGTGCAACCTGTTGTCATGTTGAGTTTAGATAAATTTTGTGACCTTATGAACTAGTGGCACTTTTTGCCTTTTTGTGAAGAGAGACATGGAGCTATAAAAAAAGTTGGACACATGAAGGTCCAAGTAAAAAAACAAAAAGAATATGGGCACATGAAGGTCCAAGTATATTAAAAGTATATTATATATATATAATAAAACAAAATAGCTTCATGATCTCAAATGTTATCTTGTGGGGGTTAATCATAAGGAGATCCACTCACCACATTGCTTTGGTATGATGAATTGCACATATCACATATTATTCAATGTGAGTTTATTTCTCCTTTTTCATTATATATAATTTCTTCTAATGATTAGCTTGAGAAGTGTCACAACTTTCACTAGGAACTTTGTTTGACTTAATAATATACATGACATAGGTATGTTTTTTCTTCACCTTTGATCTCCTTCT